ACGTGTATAACCTTTGGCTTCCGTCGCGAACCGAGGAAATGTTCGATGTTCACAAATAAAACACACGTAAAGAGACAATGGACCTTTTTTCTTATTCCTTCGTGCTTCTGAACAGATCTCTGGGACTCCTGGGAGTTCAGGTTTTTAGATGGTATTTAGAATTGATGGAATGCAGGAGGAAAGGTTAAAGAAATAGTGCTCGGTTTATTTCTAAAATTGAAGATTAGATTTATTTAGAGAATTTATTCGTAGAAATGGGGAAATCAGTTTTCATGTTCAATATTTTTGTTGTTTGTAGATTATCTATTACGATTAAATTAATAACTGTTTTGTTTATATTGATTTTTGAGAATGAAATAAAATAATTAACGTTATTTAAAGGGTGGCACAATGTTTTGTATACAGATTGCAGGACTTAGAGTTTAGAGTAATTTAATGTTGTTCATTTATGGAAAGGTTGCACGGATCTAGAAGTTCAAATAATTAGAATGTCGAAGATTTATGATAATAATATATAAACGTTAACAAGAATATATTTTTGAGCTTGATATTGTACTGAAATGATTAGTCGAAATATTCAGACTTCTGTTTCAGAAATTAGAACTGAAGAGTCTGTAAGAATTATAGTGTTCTCACTGAAACAGAAACTTCCGGTTGGATCAAGGGTTAAACGCGTTCCACGAGAAAGCAATGGAGACAAAGAAGTGTGTTCGCTTGAATGCATTGTGCGCCACGTTAGAAGAAAGTGCAGGACTTTCTAGCCGCTTCGATTTTCGATAGACCGAATCGTACAGCCTCGTGAACGTTCGCCGGTGCGTATGAATATCAACCCTTTGCACTCGAAAGTTTTTTCCTAGAAATATTCAACACTCTTTGATAAAATCTAGACGATGCTTGTTGCGACTAATGTAAATAATTTAATCGATAAATTAAGGGATAAGAGTATTTTACTTTGATACTTCATAGAATGACGCATTATACAAAGTTTAGTATTAAACATCAAACTTTATAATTTCACTGTATCAAATCAAGTGGTGACTGAGAGTCACCTCCCGAGTGCAAAGGGTTAAAATTTCCTTGATCGACGGTCCTATAGCTGCTGGTGACCGCGATAATGTTTATCTTAACAGTCCGATAGCGGTTACAGAAGCCACGAGGGAGCGAGATACGGAATTCTGTGGATTCTTTGTGCTCCCGTCATTAAATTCGAACGGTTTATTCATGGTTTACTGTTGATCACGTGTTCAGATGATTAATTACGCGAACGTATAGAGTGAAGTTAGTTTGCTAATTTAAACCTTCACTGTGTTATTTCATTGCTGATTCGTCGTTTGTGACTCGGTTAATTTTAATGACATTCGTCGCAGAGTAATTGCACCAAAGTTTTCTCTTATTGTTCGTTGCATGTTTTTAATAAGAGAAGGAAATATTTAATCTTGAATTTTTAATTTTGAATTTATAATTTCCAAATTTTTAAATTTTCAGATTTTCAAATGCTTAATTTCTACATTCAATTATTTTTAGAGATACGATTATTCTTATATTTAATTGTCTTCAGAGATACAATTATTGTCAAATTTCATTATTTTTAGAAATGCAATTATTCTCAAATTTAATGGTCTTCAGACATACGATTATTGTCAAATTTAATTATTTTTAGAAATGCAATTATTCTCAAATTTAATTCTCTTCAGACATACGATTATTATCAAATTTCATTACTTTTAGAGACAATTACTGTCAATATTAATTACTTTTAGACACAATTTCTTTTCAAATCTAATTTTCTCCAGACACAATTTTCTTCAAATTTAATTATCTTCAGACACAGTCGCTCTCAAACATAATTCCTTTCAGATACAATGATCTCACCGCCCCTATATTTGTTTATTTACTCACAAAATCCCTTCCAACGTAATTTTCCGGAAACCTTTTTTTAAACTGTACGAGCAACCCGGTGTAACCAATGCACAGTGCATTAGGTCAGTTATGTGCACGAAATACTTAACAAGACAGGTTCCCCGACTGGAATTATTATCCGGTTATCCGGGCCGACAGCGTGGGCCGGCGTGTTTCTTGTACAAATCCTCCGGCGGCGGAATTTAATTGATCCGCCCGAGGTATTATTCGATCGGGCCCGGCGTTCGGCTGATATAATTAAGCGGAATCTGGTTGACGATCGTTTCTTCAAAAGGCCAATGAAAGTTTGTTGCGCAATAATACCCGCAGCTCATAGATGTGTTTCAAAGAAACTAACGAGCGATCGAACGAACGTCGAAGGAATGTCGCCTGCATGGTTTTTTGGCCGACGCCGCTTTCAGAAATGGGCATAATGATAATAGAGAATTATGTCGTGCTTTGCAATCGTCTATAATTACATTTTCCGGGAAAAAGTCGAATAGACACTGGGAGCCTTTTTCCTAGGAAAATGGAACGTTCGATTCATCGAGCGTTCGGGAAATATCAACTTTTATTAAGTTCATAGATGTTTAGTGTCTGATTAATTGGGAGAGGTATAAAATTGATAACCGGTGAGACCTAGATCTGTATCATAAGTAGAAGAGGCTTCTTTTTATTCTCTAAGATACTTTTACTAGTTATTTTTGTTGGGAGGGTAATTAATTCCAATTTTAGGTACCTGGTCGTACCTAAATTTGGGAGAAACAGGTACTTGTTTCATATATTTCACACTTATTGCTTTCTTTATGTTTCAGGTACCTTGCAATAACTATAGTTTCTGAGAATCAAGTACCTACCTTGGGTGTGTGATGTTATTTATCACCAATATGAAGCGTTTAGATCTAGTACCCATGTCAGATGAAAAGATACCCGATTCTAATTTCAGGTACCTTATAGCAAATATACATTATAAAAATCAGGTACCTGCACTGGGCATACAATACTATTTACTGCTATTATGTACCTAATACCCGTGTCCGATGAAAAAGATACCCGATTCAAATTCCAGGTACCCCATAGAAAATATATCGCACAACAATCAAGCACCTACATTGGGCAAAGAGTATTTATCGTTATTACGAAGTGCCTAATATCCATGTCCGATGAAAAAGATACCCGATCGGAGTTCTAGCAGCAAATATATCCGCTAAAAATCGGGTATCTATCTTAGATCTACGGTAGTTATTGCAACCCACCGGCCGTTTGCAACTGCATACCAGTGCCGCTTGCCAAACAATGATCACTGATACGTGCAGGTAACGCACAAACAATTGCAAGTGCAACGGTGCAACAGTATGATGCACCAGCCCGAGGGAGAAGGTGGGGCCCAACGGTAGCGCAGGCGTGAAAGTCTTCGGTTTCACTTGTCTTCGAAGAGATCGGCGGTACACCTGACCGGTAGTAGGAGAGACGAACAGTGAACCGCGGTTCGAGGGCTGCCCGGACGGATCCAGAAGCGAAATCGTGCTCGCGCAGCGCACAATGCGCCTCCTCATCGATCCACCGGAAACGGATCTGCTCGGCAACGTTGCGAACCGTTCGCGGACGGGAATCGGTCGGGATTTTTGAAAATTCAAACTATCCGCGGGCTGCCGGGAAACTTTGCACGCTGGTGGACCGTTTCAGTGTTCTTTTAGTGAAAAGTTGGAATCCCCTTTGTTACCGGTAAATCGTTCGATGTCTGGTTGACGATGTCATGAGATATTGTTCGATGTAAATTCATTGTTACAGGTAATGGAAGATAGAGATTTGTCTATGATATTGTACCGCTGTTTTGCTTGGGTGCAGTAGTTCGGAAATGTTAGGATTTTGAGTGTTGTAATAAATCGGTTTTAAGAGAGCTAGAGACTTTTTGGCTGTCGATTAGGATTTGGCGAATTTTGCTGATGGTCTAATAGAAAGTAAGAATTCGGGTAATGAATTACAAGATTAGGATTTCGTTAATGAGATAAGCACGAAATTACAAAAATCCAGTTGACGACCGGTTTCAAAGTTACAAAAACTTCATCACCAAATAATCACAAAACTAACAAAATCCAGTCGACAACCACTTTCAAAATTTCTAAAACTTTATTACTAACTAATCACATAATAACGAAAATCTATTCGACAACCACTTTCAAAATTCCAAAAACTTCATCACCAAATAATCACAAAATTATCAAAATGTATTCAACAATCATTTTCAAAATTCCAAAAAACGAACTCAAGTAAAATGCTATATCAAGTTCAACTCGCTGAGGATTCTTTTCGCGACAGAAAAGCATCTCCAGTCCAATTGAAAAATATTACTACGAAGGTCAACGCGTTGAGTGCCGCGCGGTTTTGCCGAGAAAAATATACAAAATGAAAATAATATTATTATTGCACGTTCATCTAGCTAAATATCACTGCATTAAGTAGCATCACTAGTAATACAGAAAAGTTTCCAAATAATCATCGTTTAATTGAAAAAACGATAGTAATTCGATTTGATTGAGGTCACCGGTGCCCCCCACAGCATCCAACGTGTTAACCAGTTAACTGTGACGAATATATACGTCATCTTAACCCTTAGCACTCCGGATGGTTTTATACTCTATCAGCAACTTTAACTAATTTCATATTACCCATGGTGAAAATTAACAATGTTATAACGTTTCTTATACCTTTTATTTTCCTTCTCAGCACAACATTTCGCTGTGTGGAAAATTTGATAATCTTGGGGTAGCTTTCTTAAGATTCATTCAAATGTTTAATATAACTGGTGCAATATTGGAGCCTAGAGTTCAAAGGGTTAAAATTCTTAATGGCGCTAACTTTTTCAACGATACATTATTTATTTTTTGAGACAAACATTTAATTCTTCTTCGTTTCGCTTTAGTTTCTCGTTAGAATATATTTAAGTGCATTCGGCCTGCATTCAACGAGTATACACTTCATCATTTGATTTTATTGCGCGCAATGAGAGATTTTTCAAACTAAACTTCACAAAGCAAAATATTTCATAGAGCAAAATAGAGAAAATGGAAGAAATACAATATTAAATCATTCGATTGACTTGCATTATTATTGCACGTTCATATAGCTAGATTTCGCTTTAGATAGCATTTTTTATAATATAGAAATGATCTGAAATAATCTTAGTTTAACTGTGTGAACTATAGTAATTCGATTCGGTTGGGGGTCACCGGTGACCCCCATGGCATTCGACCTTTTAAGGAAGGGAACAGTCCTAATCGCTGGGAATTTTTGCAGAAGACTCAATCGAACCAGAGGTCGATACAGTTTAACAAAAGGGAATCGGAAGACGTTGCGCCATGAGAATGCCGGCGGAGTCCTCGATATATTGGGATTCGGTAGGTTCCCAGCGCTCTACATCCGGCGGCAGCTCCGGAGACGCTTGCAGCTCCGGAAGCGCTAGCAGACACTACGTGGACCCGTGGGACCTGGAGAACTACGCGTACCTGCGAAGACACAGCGTAGCTGGCTTGACGCAGCAGGCACCGAGGCACCAACGACGCTCTGCCTATCATCTTTCACACGAGACCCGTGCTCAATCTGAATATTGGTGAGTGATGAGTCGATTACCTTCGAATTAGTCGACGATTAACCCTTTGCGGACGAATGACATTTCGATGATATAAAACGTTCGTATTTAGAACACTTCACAGATAATAATTAGTGGTTCTCTGGGTTTTTATGATTCTTAATTATGGTGACTGTCCTTTTGATTTTTAATTGGTTCTAATTTGATCTTTTGCTGGATTTCTTTGAGAGTCAAGTATTGGTTTGATGATCTAGAGCCGTTTGGTGAGTCATTATTGACTGTGAATTTTTGTTTAAATATTCTATTATTTACGTGATGTTTTTGTATATGATTATTGGGCAATGGAACGTGATGGAATTAACCCTAATCGTGCCACGTGTTTTTGTAATGAATCATACGACGTGACTCTCAGTCAGTTATGAGAATAAAAGGAATGATTAAAATGTTATTGTTTTTGTTTATAGGGGGTAAATTTTAAAAGTCTAAAAGAATTGTTGGAAAGGCAATATGAAATAGTCGAAAGATTTAAATGGAAAGTTCAAATGTGACTGAAAGTCACATCGCGGTTCAATTAGGGTTAATTAACCAGTCGATATAGAATTCAGCTTCATCTGTTGAAGGTTAAATTACAATGTATAATGAGCCACGCGAGCTTCTTGAAGAATTACTCGGTGCAAGAACTGTTATGCACTCCTTTTAGGGCTGGGAGCCAGGGTTCAGGCCAAGTTGGGTTTCGTCGGGTTAGGTCTGCTAATTGGGTTCGTCGAGCTCCTTTGGCCGGAGATTAGGTTTGAATTATGTTTTACTGAGCTGTTGGACTTTATAATTATTTGGTTTTTGAGTTTTTGAATTGACTTAGTTTTTTGGAACTTTTGGGTTTTTTAATTGTTTGGGTTTTGCTGTTTCGAATTTTTGAATTGTTTAATGTTTGTTGCTTCGAATTTTTCAGTTCTTCGACTGTCATTGCTTCAAACTTTGGGTGTTTTAATTATTCAACTTTCGTTTTTTGGAACTTTTGAATTTTTCAATTATTTAACTTCTATGTTCTTAATTTTTTTTATACTTAACTAGTACTGTTCTAAATTTTTCAATGATTTAACATTGATTATTTCGAACCTCTCAATTATTTAACTTCGTTCACTCCAAACCTTTCAATTATTCATCTTCCACTACTTAAAATTTGTAAATTACATATCCCTTACCATCCCAAATTTCTCAGTTATTTAAATAGGATAATTTCTAACTCTTAACTGATATATAAATTTTCAATACGATTGGATCCACATCACTAATTTCCTTCTTCAATAATCATTCCAATCTTTCCTAGAGAACCTACAATAATTAAATTCAACAATCTGACCGAAATAAACATTTATACCGTAGAAAAATCAGATCAGTCAACACTGAATTAATTGAAATAAAATTATAGAAATGATAGAAATCTATTTAAATTTCTTCATGCCAAGTGCACACAGGTGACCACTATAAATTCTGATTCCAATAATTCTGTTGAGCTCACGTTTAATTCGCTCGAACCGGAACAAAAGGCGGCGCGTGGCGTTTGGAATGTCTTTCACGGATTAAAAATTCACTAAGCGACGGGCGCCACGGCTCAAGGGATTTTGCCTTTCACCGATTCCGATCGAATCATCGTTTCAAATCGCTGTTAGGGGGTTCACTGCACCGTGTTGGATCGCTGATGGATGCCTATTACGATCGAAGGAAGGGTCTCTTTCCGGCAATTAGATTGCCATGCAGTTCTGTCCCGTTCGACGAGCTTCGTTGTGCAATTCGTTGCGAGCTACTCCGTTTGTCTACCCCCTTTAAGGATTTTTGGGAATATAAACTTCAAAACAGAAATTAAATATGGAGATTGATCCTTGCTGCTTCCTTATCGATGTTAAAAATGAATTAGAGTAAAAAGAAGATAGATTAGAGAGAAAAGCATTGAGTAAAAAGAAGTCTATTTTGTTTATAAATTTTTGGAAATATGGAACATTGGAAATTGAAAGTATTGATCACCTAAGCTAATCACCGTTTGTCTATTCAGTTTAAGGATTCCATTTCTAAAAATATTCTTCTCGATAACTTCTCGGAAAAAAATACATTTTAAAAAAAATTCAGATTTCCGTTCCCAAAGAAGCAACAGCGAAGGCGCAGATTAATAAGCGCAGCGCGACGTGTGCGCAACACACTCAAGAACACCGTGCCCTACTTCACGCCCGCCGATACGATCTTTCGCGGGCAGGCTCGCGGAGCCATGAAAAATATATTGGGTTAAACAGACTGTGAACAACAGAAAAGAAAAAATCCTATCGCGCCCGTAAACAATGCTGTGCTCCTTTGCGCAACTGTGACGGAACCGATTACCAGATGATTTTCTTTGTCATATTAATATTCATAATATTGCATCAATAAAATAGTTGTATATTATTTGAATGTAGTTGGAGATTAGTGATCTTCCTTTGAATTAGAATCTCTGGATAACTTAGATTACCAGATGATTTTCTTTGTCATATTAATATAAATAATATTGCAACAATAAAATAGTTATAAGTTATTTGAACTTAGAGATTACTGATTTTCCTTTGAATTAGAATTTCTTGATAAATTTGATTACCAGATGATTTTCTTTGTCACATTAATATAAATCATATAAATTTAATTATCTAAATAACTTCAATATTAAACCCTTGCCTTACAATATCGTGTGATGATTCCAAATGACTCGTGAAGATTCCAAATACAATCTAACATAATTCAAATGTTACTCAATTCTTTTAAATTCCAATTAAATATTATTCCTGTGTTATTAAATTAAACTAATCAGTACAAATAATTGAAAATGTACGTTGTTAATGAGATCGAGCCTGGAATCATCTAATTATTTTATCAGGTTAAATTACACGTCGATTTTTTCCGTTTTTTGCGCAATTTCCATGGCACGGATTGCGCATGACTCGATTAGTCGATTGTTTATGCAAAAGGAGGCTCGCGTGTTGCTCGAATGTTGCCTTAACCGGTTTTGTAATACGCATAACGAACAACAGTCGTGTCTGCTCTTCTGTGTTCGATATTATGAATATTCCTCGCGTTTACATAATTTTTGAAAGCCGTTGTTAGTGTAGGAATATTCTCTGGGAAGTGTTAACGGTATTCATTATACGTGACTGTGATTAATCTACCTGAATCAGGTGTTAATTGAGATAATTCTGCACCAAATCGTGTGAATTATTTTGCTACCAGAATTTTCTATAATTTATTAGTTGTTCGAAGTAATATGGAAATGAATGATTTTATTTCGATAAATGATTCTTATTCTATTCTATTCATTTTTAATGGAAAGAAAGGGTGGAAGAAATATTGTTTTTCATGTTTTCATTTTGTGGTTGACAAACGTGTGAGTGCAAGGGCAGCGCCAGTGTTTTTCCACGTTAAATAACAATATCACGTTGAACAATCGATGGGAAACGACTGGAATCAGGGGAAACATTGTAGGTATTCATCCTCGGTGAGAGAACCGGGCTACGACGCACCAGCTTTCGTGGAAGGATTGTATTGTGGACCACCTAGGCCAGGGAACAATAGTTGCTATTATCATCAGCCGATCTACGAGGACGAGGTACCGGATTACGTCGCACCGTTTCCGGTCTACACGCCTCTCTCCGGTAAGATTAATTGCTTTCCTCTTTACTGTACGCTCTATCGAGGCGTCTAAGTACTATAAGTTTGATAGGATAACTGTGGGAATGTTCTGTTGCTTTTGGAAACTTGGCAAATTAAAAAGCGAGGGAAGATTAATTTTAGGAAAATTGAAAGTTTGGAGAACAGTTAGGAAAATTAGAAGTTTGAAAAGTTAAACTTTCAAGAAGTTGAAAGGCTGAGAAGCTGAAAGTTTGGGAAGTTGAAAGCTTGAGATGTTGAAAGTTTGAGAAATTGGAAACATGAGAAGTTGAAAGCTTGAGAAGCTGGAAACTTGAGAAATTGGAAACATGAGAAGTTGAAAGCTTGAAAAGCTGGAAACTTGAGAAGTTGAAAGCTTGAAAAGCTGGAAACTTGAGAAGTTGAAAGCTTGAGAAGCTGGAAACTTGAGAAGTTGAAAGCATGAGAAGTTGGAAACTTGAGAAGTTGAAAGCATGAGAAGTAGGAAACTTAAGAAGTTGAAAGTTTGAAAACTTGGGAACTTGAAAACTTGAAAGCTTGAGAAGTTGAGAGCTCAAGTATCTAAAACCCTGAGAACTTAATTCTTCGAGAAACCAGTTGCACCGGGAACAGGGTATTTCCAAAAATGGTATTCGAAACTCAAGGAAATTACATCACATCCCCTAAGAAGCACAAGAAATTTCAATTACCAATTAACCAGCGACTGGCAATACCCATAACAATTTCAACTTGATGCTTGATTAGAAGAGATACGGATTTTCTCCGATCGCTTTCACCTAGTCAATATTCAGTTCCTCGTGTCTTCCTATTTAAAAAACCCACTCCCAGCCAACGCTCTTTATGAAAGTAAAAAGGTAAACCATAAAGAAACCTGAGAACAATCAACAAAAAAAGATTCTCCAACGATTTAGACATTTTTTATCCCTAACACCAGAAAAAGATCCTCGCCGGATTAGACAGGTGACGGAACGCATCATGTGTGAGATGACCTGACGCAATGTTTCCCTCCGTAAAACGAGGCGTAACCGGTTCGTTCCCTGTTTCGTGACCAAAAGCCACAATGTGGCGGTCGAGTGAGTTTTCTCCTCATCACTCCGACCGCGTTAATTGATATTCTTGCATGCGGCGACACGATTACGCGCGCACGCCTTTATCGTGCCTCGCATGAGGAAAGCCCGCGAAAACGTTATGCAATTTCAACGTTGCATCGCGGACTTGCACGTGCCGATCGCATTCAGCCAACGGGCACGCTTCCCTTCCGGATTAGACCGGAAGTACCGTTCGAAATTGGCTCCTCGAACCACCAGGAAGCAACTTCTCCCTTCGCTGTACGAAAATGTTAATTTCGGACGGCGTTCGATGCAAGTTCATTGAAATTCTTCGCTGTGAAAGTTAATTGATCAATTTTGTTCTGTCTTGAATTATGGGGATTTCGTTTTGTTCCTTCGAAAGTTGCTTCGAATGGTTCGGTAGAAACTTGTTTGGTTGCTAGTTTATTTTTGTATGAAAATATGAACTCTAATGATACTATTCAATTTAGAGGCAATTAAAAGTATTAACTGCGCGGATCAGTTGATTCTGTTGTTTTTATCTGGTTGCTTTTAAGTGAATTAAGTTTCCCTGAAGACTGGTTTGGTTACTAGGAAATAATCTATGTACAAAATGTGGATTATTTTAATTGAAATTAATGGAAAATATTAACTGTGAAAGTTAGTTGATCAATTTGATCTATTTTGAACCTTAGATGTTATTTTGTTACCTTGAAAGTAAGACTTTTCGTGAGAACTTGTTTAGAAACTAAACTTCGCGTAAAAATATGACTTCCAGTGATACTATTCAATTAGAATTCATTAAAAATATTAACCGTGAAAGTTGGTCGATCTATTTTATGTTTTCTCGAACCTAACATTTTATTTAGTTACTTAGAAAATGATAATTTCAGTAAAAACTTGCGTTCCTTATAACTGCTCCGCAAGGCAGCCATATTGAATTTACACAGAAACCAATGTGCCCCGAGAAAAGTTGATATTTCCAGTGAAACTGTTAACTAAAGCAAGAATAAGTAGATCGTTTCATTTTCCTTTATAAATCTTTAAAATCCAAAAGAGAAAGGAAAGAGGAATTACAATTAATTTCTTTAAAGGATTCGTGTCATCTGCTTGTAACTCCGGCCAGCCGCCATATTGAATCAAGATACATGTTTACCCAGCGCGACGCGAAATTAACTTCATCAGTGAAACTTCTAATTTCAGAGAAAGGATGGCGTTAAAACGGAGAAAGATCAGGGTCTTCAAAAATGTAAATCGTTATCTTCCTAATTTAACATTTAAGAAAGCAAGATAATCACTTTGACAAGAAACTTTGAATTTCCACCGACATTTCTCCTTCGTTCTCGGAATATTCGTTGAAATAGTCATCGTCCTTGGGAACTACCTTGAAATAATTGTCGCATGGGTGAAATATTTCTCCGGCGACGTCAATGGTCGCGGAAAAAACGCGATAAACAGTAATCGCGCGGTGACGAATCGATTTCGCGGAAAATTGGCAACGTGCTCGCCGCCACGAAACAATCATTTTTATTTAATCTAAATAACAATTGAAATTGAATAGTTTCAACTTATTTAGTTTGCCATCTAATCCATATTGACCTTAATCTCACAAAATAATTACTATAATTCAATTTAAATTACAATTAAGATTGAACAGATTCAGGTTGCCACCTAATCCATATTGACCTTAATCCCTCAAAATAATTACTTTCATTTAATTTAAATTACAATTAACATTGGTCTCACAAAAAAATTACTTTCATTTCATTTAAATTACAATTAACATTGATCCCACAAAATAATTACTTTCATTTCATTTAAATTACAATTAACATTGTACAGTTTCAACTTATTTAGGTTACCGTCTAATGCATATTGAACTTGGTCCCACAAAATAATTACTTTCATTCAATTTAAATTACAGTTAAAATTCAACAGTTTCAACTTATTTAGGTTACCGCCTAGTGCATATTGAACTTGGTCCCACCGCTGCTCGCCATTTGTCGCGCGACCCGATTTCTATCGCTCGCCTAGAAAGTCGCGAATCGCGCGCGTTCCGCGTTTTATGTCGCGCGGATGCACCGTACGATTTGACGTTCGACGCGTAATTATTATTTCCAACCGGCTTTCGACGTCTCTACTTTCTCCGCGTTGAATCCATGCGTAGACGTTCTTTTCATTCGGTTTTTAATTTATTTCGACTGGCTGCGTATTTCAATTGCAAATCAGACGGAACGATACTCTCGACCATCGTCGCGCGTACGATAATTCTTCGTTACGTATTCCTGTGTTATTGCGACTGAATGTTGTTAACTTCCTTGCGAAACACGACTTTTACTTGTCGATAAATTTCCGAGCGTCTTAGGTTAGAAAAATTCGTGGAATTCTATGGTGATTTGTGGGTATTTCGTCATTTCTTTCCGTACTTTGCACACGAATTTAATTCCTCGAGTGTAATTTTTTATTAATTGTTGAAATTCCAAGTGTCTATAATTATCAATACAACGTTAAAAATAAATTTAATAGAAATGTTCGGGCAATTCGAATGTGCTATGCGAATAAAATGGAAAGTAACAGAGAACTGTTAAATTTACAAATAACAAGAGACAGTCAAACTTAAGTCACACTAATTTAGAAGACACAATCAGAAATCAATTCCAAACACTGAACATTTAAGGGGGGAAATACATTTAGAACTTTAAAAAATCTCAATATTTTTTTTTCTATAGGATGTTAGTATAACATCTTAAGAGTATGGTGCCAAAGTTTTAAAGCGAAATTCGGAGCCCTTCTGATGCTATCGGGACTCATAGGCGGTAGCCCACCGCAGGTATATATTCACGCGCTAGAAGCGGAGGACCCGCCTTTCATAATTCCCTCCTTTCAATCATTGTAAACATGTTACTTTACATTGTTTGCGTTATACAAGAAAAATTATCATACAGCCGGCTTCGAAATATTAAAAAAACAAAAAACCTCGGTGGAAAAGGGAAGCTGACTGATGCGCTTATCAGGAAACTCACAGCATACTATGGCTTAGCCATACGAAGAAATATTCATAGTGTGGAAAATATGAAGAAAGCTATAATGGCCTCGTATTATCACTTATGCTCCACCGAAGAAAATCCAAGGCACGAATACTGCCCGGTAGGAAATGACAGCTGCTGCAAGTGGCAGAAAGCTCTAGTTACAGGAGCAAATTTGGACCTTATAGAACATCCTGCACCACCGCATCCAGACGTGCAGAAGCACATCCTACCAATTTACGAAGATTTATCTGAAGAGAATCTACTTGAGAGGTGCTTGGGCGGACATACTCAGAACAATAACGAGAGTTTCAACTCAACTGTTTGGCGGTTCGCTCCAAAGCACCTGCACTCAGGAATAAAAATTATTGAAATTGCAGCATATTTGGCAGCTGGCTTATTTAACGAAGGATATGCTTCAGTTTTAAGAACTATGAGTGCTTTGAATACTGTAATTGGAAAACAAGCAAAAACATACGCCGACAAAATCGACGAACAGAGAGTAATTCGACAGGAGCGACGCACCTCATTAACTACCAAAGAGGCTCGAAAAGCAAGAAGAGAGCAATGTATAGAGGAAAATCAGCTCTATGAGGAAACAGAAAGAATATTGTATGGCGCAGGTATCGCAGACTAGCTGCTAAGTCATTGAAATTATTGAGTTATCACTTATCGAAACTTTGAACGTGTTTATCTCAAAACTACATTTTCGAAATCGGTGGAACCAATAACTCAAAAACTACTCAATCAATCTTGCTGAAATTTTGCACACATATCTATAACAATATTGTCTTCTATATGAACCTAAAGATATGTAATAAATTATAAATAAAAGTACCTTTTTGGTGCAAAATATAGCCAAAAATTTCATGTAAAATTCGAAGTTTCTGTTTAAAAGCGTGCCATTTTTTCAATTTTCAATATTTTTCACTTTTTTTAGGTTCACCTACAAACTGTAAATGTTAGTTATCGAAATATGTCTTGCTGGTTTGTTTGAAATCAATGTAGCCAATGCTAGAGCTTACACCATTTAATAAGTCGCACCACGACCTTCCCGAAAAACGTGGACATAACTCCGCCATTTTTAAATATTTTGAAAAACAAAAAATGCGCTGTGATAGAGAAAGAATATAATAAATGATAACCAAAGTTTCAAAAATGTAAAACAATCCTTTCCTTTACAAAAAAATTCATAAAGATAAGCTCGTTTTCATCCGTCTAAAGGTATTTCCTCCCTTAAATAGAACTATGAATTTTGAAAGGATTAAGCAAAATCATCATGCTTGAAAAATTTAAACTTTCAAATGAAAAATTAATGTGAATAAACTATTGTAAGAATTCGAATACGCCACAGAAATCACACGAGAACTAAGAGAGAACCATTAAAATTACGAATAACAAGAGTAACCAAATCACTCTGATACAGAATGAACAATCAGAAATAAATTCCAAGCACTGAATACCTGTAGTTTCGAATTTCAAAAGGATTAAGCAAAAAAATTCTATCGCCAGTTTCTCCGCAACTGTACCATTCCCATCGTCCTCGTTCCAAATTATAAATGCAACTCAAGGTTTACGACTCGAAATGCTGAAGGCGTCGCATCGGTGGGCGTCCGGTCTTGCCGAGCGATTAAAGTCAAGCCTATTAGCCGCGAAGACCTCTGCTGCGCTTCTATTAATCAGGGGATTACCGGAACGAGGCGGCGATCAACGACAGCGCACGATAAACAACGGAGAAAGTAAACGAGCCTGTCCAAACATCGATCGATACGTTTTACCACTTTCCCGAGAAATATTATCCCTAGGCCTGACTCGTGTTTATGCGCCCATAAAATTCGCTGGCAAAAACTCAAGGTTACGAGCCTTGCGCAACTTTGGAACATTCTTAACACGTTAACAACCGTGGACGCCTCTGAGCGTCTTTAGAAAGCGACTCCAGTGAAATGAGTCGTGTCGAGAAATATAGATGTATGTGTGATCATTCGATTGGCCTCGATTGATAAATTAATGGAAATTCTTCATTTTCGAGATATTGTTAGTAGTATCGCTGTTTGCTTTAGAAATAGGTCATGGAGCAGAGTTCATGGGGGACCATAGACGATTCAGGCACAGGTGTAAATCCACATCCATGAGGGACCTACATAGGTATGATATAAAAATGAATTTTTCCGCTCAATCAGGTGAATTAAGTAATTATTGATGTCTATTAAATATCTCTTCAGATCTGAATTCGTTGACCTTCATGTACCACCGATGACCCCCATAGAATTAGGTAAGATTTCAGTGAAAGTCATCGATAATTAAATAAACGTAAACTATTCGAACACTAAGAATTAATCATTTTCATGCTGTAATCACTTCTGAAAACTTTTAATGAATATTTTTAAATTTAACAAGTTAACGGCGACGTGACAATGATTTGATATTCTTTCAAAGACTTCTTTGGATTAAACTATTAATTTACAGATTCACTGTTTAACCAGTCATTTCTAAAATTTTAGTTAAACCCAACACCGCGATGATCGTATATTCTCCCGAAGTTTTCGATTACAAATATTTATAACGAATTCCAGGATTATCAAATCCATTGGTTCACGATGATATTCATCATCCGAATGTTATTAATTTCTTACAGACACCGCACGTCATCCGGCACCGGAGTATCGTTCAATGATGCCGGTAGTGCCACCTCCGCACCTCGACCTGAACACGTACGGACACCTTAAGATAGATTACACGAACAGTTGGAACTCGCTGAACCGTAAGATCAGCAAATGATTCGGATCGACAGGTTTCCAAAGGATCTGTCAGTGTCAAGGATACGCGGCGGGATGCTTTCGATTGAATGCTTGTGTAATATAATCTATTTAAGAAGCAAATCGAACCAAAAAATGTTGCTAGTTTAATCGACGTGTGAAAAGCGAAACGTTATTTGTGTACAAACGTGAAATTATCATTAATTATACATTTTCTACTGACCGACGTGTCGTATTGAATTATGCGCCTATGCTTGTGTCATTTCCTCCTCCGACTGAACGATATTTATCGCGACGCCGATTTCCTCACGATACAATTTCCTCTTTTTGCTCCCCTCGGCTCCGGTGATGATTTCCCCTTGAACTTCAGTGGGAGTACTTATTCTCTCGACGTCCAACTCCGGCCATCTTGGAATATATTTATTATATTAATACACAATTTTTCATTATTAGATTAACTTTATAGGTAATTTGGTATTGTTATATTTGTAAGTTATTATTGGACTGCAGAGATTGTAGAAATACTGATTTTTTTTACGTCCAATTCCGGCCATCTTGGAATATATTTATTATATTAAAATATATTTTTCATTATCAGATTAATTTTATAGATAATTTGGTATTGTTGTATTTGTAAGTTATTATTGGACTGCAGATATTGTGGGAGTACTGATTTTTTCGACATCCAATTCCGGCCATCTTGGAATATATTTATTATATTAATACAGAATTTTCCATTATTATTAATTTCTTTTACTATTCCATTATTTGTATTTCTAACACAATGGAAAAGTATCTTATTAATTGATACTTCATTTTATGAAATAATGACTGATATCTGTTATCTAAATTATATATTTAGATATATCTTTTATTTGGTAAATAGAATTGGAGAAGTACCTGAAGAGACTAGTGTTTTTCTTATTCTTGCCCGGATTCTTCTGTCTACCTCTTTTCTTGTTTTCGTTCTGCGCCAAAGAAATATAAGTGAAAAACTGAAGTAAATAATTAATTTAATAGATTCTAACCTATTCGTGAGGTCAACGTAATAATACTTCCAAAATAAATGATTCTAAGCCAATCAATAATACTATAAACATTTAAATACCGATGCAGCAGTCAATTTTGCATTCTGTAACAACACTTTATACTTGTGTATCTCATTAGAGTGTTGTTGCTTCAAAATGGCGACTTCCCCTGTATGCTTCTCTTCTTGAAGCATCAATTTAGTCTTCAGAATATCAATCTCATCCTTCAGTCTACAGACTGGGTAACATTAACACAATAATTAACCAATTAATCCATTAAAGATCAAGTTCCAAATTAATTCCATATCTAAAGAACTCAATAATAAGAAACAAACATGTGTTAATTAAGAAACTCCATATTTCTACTTGTGTGCTGGTTAATGGATAAATTCCAAATAATACACAGTAATGACTGTGCCAATTCAACAGAAGGTGATTTCAATGGGAAAGAAATTAGATCATCGAATACCTTCTTGGTCGACGCCATTATGGTCAGTAACGACGAGTCGTAAATGGTCACACTGCTGTCTGAGATCCCCGATCGTTCTGTGAAGTTCCTCCTTCTCCATTTTCCATTTCTCAGCCATGATTTTATACCGTTCCTCCAAAAGGGAATACGTTCTCGAGAGCATCTCCAAATTATTCCTAATCCTCTCGGAACGTTCCTTCTCCATCGTTAAAGTCTCCTGGTGAGCTTCGCAGTAAGCTTTCAAAGCGACGTACGTCTGCAAATTTCCATTATATTAGAATAATTCTCGAATGGAAATCACGAGAAGCGTGTAGACAATTGTTAAAAATAGTTCATTGTTAGCCGGACATCTCTGATTCTTGAAAATTCTTCGAGAATCCCTCGCAAACCGAAAGACAACTGTTCTTTGTCGTTCATCTTGGAACTTTTGTTCTCGGGATTCTTTGAACGCGAACCGTGGCTTGAATCTGATTTTACCGACAGTGTCGTTGATAGTATCAATTGTTGATAAAAATAGAAAATATTGTTGAGAAAATAGATTGGATGTTCAATGTAAATTTTTGTTATGTAGATTAGGGGTTGACTCGGTTGAAGCGTTCCTGTGTCACTCGCAACGTTACCGGCGGAGTATAAATAAATATAAATGAATAATAACAATAAATGAATGTTTATTAATTTCATTTTGCTGAAATATTCAATTATTATTTGTAGTTTTATTTAATATTGCGGATTATTTAGAATTCATATAAATACTTCACAAATATATTAGTATTGCATTACAAAGGCTCAAGGAGAATTAATCATAAATTACTTAAGAATTAATGATTAAGAATTAATTAGAAAGATTGATATGAAATGCAGTATTTTTAGATGCATTAGAAATAAGGAAAGGTCGGTGGAATTCTTTTAATAAAATGGAAAACTTAATAAAATAAATTCAATGTAATTTCAATTTGAAGTAATTTCTCGAAGTACTTTCCGTTAAAATTCAATTTTCTATAATAATAGTCGAAAGGTGGGTTCAAACGAGTTTCGAACGCATCGCACTCAAGGAAGTTGTATACGAAATGAATTGTCACGATTGTGAGGTCATTTTGTTTTTCATGTCTTCCAATATTGAAATCGGAAATGACAGGAGTCACGGTGAAATCGAAGAACGCGATGCAATCTAAATCGACGACCACCGTGAACAACGAGGAGAGCGCCGATGAATTGATGGAGGAGTCTGCCTTTGAGCAGATATGTGACACGATATTTGTTCTGATCCCTGAAGGTGTGTACGTTTAATCTCACAAGAAAGAGTTTCATCAAGAAAAACGTCCCATTAAATAATTAAATCCAAAAACTACGCTCTTGGGATTTGCTCTGTTTTCGTAAATAATAGGCCAATAATTGAAACAGTTACATATTTATTTGGAAACATGGAAGAAAATAATATATTCAAGATGGAAGGTTTCTAATATGTTTGGAAATAAATGATGAACCTAGAAAATAAGTTAAATGATCACTGGTACATTTAATAGTAGTTTTTAAAATGTAATATCATGCTTATAGCTGTATTAAATTGAAACGAATTAAATTATGAGGCTGAAAGAGTTGCCATTATGAATCTTTAATTAATTAGAAGCAGTGAAGATACTTTTTTAAGTGTTCTATTCTGAATTTTATAACAGTGCCACGACTGAAGCAGCTGTTTTTAAGCTGGAGCCAATTAGGCACCGAAGACAGGGCTCTACTGGACGCTAAAGTAGCAGACTGGTGTTGCCCCAGCAGAAGACAGCTTTACAAACCTTTGCAAGAAGCTTTGATTCGCTGGGAGACCGTCCAAGACACTCAAGGTTACTTGAATTAATTAATATGAAATATTAAGTTAAATAGTAAATATCTGTTTAGTAAATCTCTGTCTGCTTTATCAAATTTTGAAATTAAATTATATGATGAATTTAAATTTAATAAATTCAATAATATGATAAATTTAAATTTGATAAATTCCATAATATGATGAATTTCAATTTGATACATTAAATAATATGATGAATTTAAATGTGATAAATTCAATAATATGATGAATTTAAGTTTGACAAATTAAATAATACGATGAATTTAAATGTGATAAATTAAATAATACGATGAATTTAAATTTCCTAAATGAAACGATTTAATGAATTTCATTTTCAGAATTTTAATCGTTAAATTAAATAATAATTGACAGGTGCCCCTGGTTGCGAACCAGGCATGGTCTCGTTTTCATGTGACCCTCAGCTGGAAGAGGAGCTGGTCAGCGTAATTTGCAGTCTGGAGCTTTTGTTCTCGAAAAATCGAAAGCCCAGGGAAATCGACATGGATTACGAGGTTCCACGTTGCACAGGAATAATGAGGGACATGTCTCTGAACCTGAATTGCGAGAGTAATCTGCAATCGATCCTTACCTCGAAGGAAAGGATGCCTCGATCGGTTCACAGTTGCGGTTATATTTCAGACTTAAAAAGATCTGACGACGAATTCAGTGGATACTTAACTAATTAGAAGGATGAAATATATGGAAAAACATGATTTACTTTATTAGCTCATGAATGTCTGAATTTTAAGGATGAATCTCGGTCCAGTGACATTTCACGGAATGGTACTTAATCATACTGACGTCTGATCAGTATGCTCTAGATTCGCGTACGCATACAAATTGTTTCGTTTACTCTTGATTGTTCAAAAATCAAACTGCAATATTATTTTATTACTCGAAGGAAAGTCTCTATATTGTTCTATAATAACGAACCAGAGGACTTGTAAAAACGGTACATACACGATTCACTTAATTAACACTTAATCGGTAAAAATTCTAAAAGCTCTCATCGTCCAATAAAATATTCAGTTCTTGGTAATAAGTGAAAATTAGAAGAAAATGTATTATAGAATATCACAATGGTAAGCTCAGGTTTATCACGAAAATTTTTCATGGAAATTCCTTATTCGATGCGTTTGTTGGATACAACTAAGCCGAGACAACGTATCGGAGCCAGCGGAATGCAACAATTTCGAATAATCCTTGAATCGACGAATACGTTTAAAAAATATATCTTCTTTCCAACAGAAAATAATCCAATTTCCTTTAAACTTCATTTACCTTACAAAGTAATTCGCATAGTCTCAAGAACGTCTCGATAGCAAAACACAGATATCAATAGAAATACTTTTCTCGATCGCCTCGCTCCAGTTCTCAGGATATACTGTATAAACGTATATATATACATACGGCGTGTAACAAAATTATTGCGCACAAATGATAGGATGCGTACAACTCGCCGAGCCGAGTAAAAAAGCTCAGCGAAAAAACTTAATAATTACCGAGAGAAAAATAGGTTTAGTTTAAAGAGGAATACATGGGAACCGAATCAAGAACATTGAATTATCTCGAAAAGTGGCAATGATGTATTTGACCGTGACCCGACCTTGAAACATCCTGCAAAGGTCACGAAACAATTCTTAAATGAAACTCCATATTTTTGAAGACATTTGGACGTTTCCGAATAGACACAAAATTTTTCGTGTAACCCGTTATCAATATATCATCCGATGGTCGCCATATATTTATTTTTAAACTAAACCTATTTTTATATCCAAAACTATGGAATTTTTTACTCATGTTCACTGGATTATCTTTCATTTCTTTCGTTTCTTATATTTATATTTCATTTATGCGCAGTAGTTCTATGACACCCTGTACACGTATAGAGAGAGAGAGAGAGAGAGAGAGAGAGAGAGAGAGAGAGAGAGAGAGAGAGAGAAAAAGAGAGATAGAAAAAGAGATGAATAATAAAATCACGATCGTCCGTTTATCATGGTCACTGAACGCCTCCACGTAGTCAGTGACATAAAATATTTTATTAATCATCAGTTATAATGGGCCAAGGTGTACGAGCATACATTCAACTTATACAATCGGTCCTTCAACGGCACAACTGAAGGGAACAGAAACAGAAACAGAACGAATGTACGAAACGTGTCCGGATGACGATCGTCGATCTCCGCGTTTCTAGCTCGACCAGGACGCAAAAGATTTAGGCTCTTATCTCCCTAATGTCTGTTACGCAAGGACGAACACTGGTCTTCCGAGGAGAGTTTCACGTGGATTTACAATGCATGTGCGTACACTAGGACAACACTCTGTTCATCCGAGGTCCTCGAGTAACGTTCGGATGAACCGGATCGTTCCGATAATAGGGGTTTACTAATGCGGCTAGACTTCCTACTTGTACACACATTGTAACCACAGTTGGGCAAAATGTAATTTAATTACACAAGGCTGAGAATGAAACCTCAGTATTATCCTCCTCTTATTCGGCTGCTGGTTTACTTTCTGTGAATACCATTCGAATCGCCACAATTTCACTCGTGGAAATCAGTCGCGACCGACCGCTGCAAAAGATAATCCGCAATCGAAGCAGCGTGTTACACTCGAGTCGCGTCGGGTGACGTGTAATCGAATCGCGTTTCAATTAATTACAATAAATCCGAGCACTGCCGCGAAATCAGCCCGGACGAATCCGAGCGCGAGCAAGACGTCCGCGGATCCTCATTCTTTGTCTAGCTTTGTGCAGTCCGGCGTCCATCTTGATCGGAACGTAGCTCGCGCGTATTATTATAACGCCGTTCGTTTCGTCGCGGCGACGAGGGAACCGCTCGATTTCGTCGTGGAGACGAGAACCGACCCTGTTGCGATCCAAGAGAATTTTTTGTATTTCTTTCGCCACGAAAGCGTAATCTTCCGTGGGCCAGAGGAGACTGAACACGCTTGGACACAGGGGAATCTTTGTTATCCTGGACCGGAGTCCCGTCTCGAGTCGTTCGGGAATCGACGGGAGCTCGAGATCGAACAGCAGACTGCCGATGTTTGTGCACTCGTATCGCCTAACATCTAGAAAGCAACGCGGCGAACGTTTCTATGAACACTATGCGTCGTCTGAACACAGGAGAAATTAGTGGAGATACGGTTTAGTCGGATCTTTTAGAGGTTAGTTCCTTGAAATCCCTGGATCTGCATAAATATCCGCAGTCTATTCAAGAGGGCAAAGGCGCGGAAGAGATAACGCGGATCCAACTGTGTCCTTCGGGATCTTGGGCCGCAAAGGGCGAGCCTGGTTTTCGGGGGATGAAGTAGAAATTTCTCTTTGAAAAGTGGATCGTCCTAAGAACGTCGAATTCAGTTTGAATCACAGGAGTTCCGCTTGGTCCATTTCATGGGACCATTTCTATTGCTACTAGCCTTGGACGATACACGGTTTGAACGGGCCGGGTGGAGGAGTTTCTCGAGTCACGGCGAAGCGATTACGAACGAGGACACGTTCTGACCGAGACATGCCCCGTTTCCATTGGATCGGTAGAAATTAGGAGCGTCTAGCTCCAGGGTTCCCTTGGTTCTTCGGTTACCTAGCTCCAAGTGACTCCGAGGTCATCTATCCTCTAAATCGTTTAGGTCCAGGATGACCAATCTTTTTTAGCCATTTAGCACTAGCACAACTTAACGCTAAGGAGATCTAGATCCAGGAAGAGTCACGTTTCGAATCACCTAGGTCTGAGTTCAGAGATCTACATTGTCGACTATCTAGGTCAAAGACTGTTCTTTCCAGCCACCAGGAGAATTTAGCAGTAGAGATTTAGAGCTAGATAGGACTACGTCTTAGTCTAAATCTAGGGTGTCCTATTTCCAATTATTAAGGATAACGTAAGGCTAAAGTGGTGTCTAGAGATTTGTCATTTAAGCTATTTAGGTCGGGAACGACCTGTCTTAGTTGCTCAGATCTAGGACACCCTAGATGCAAAAGTGATGAAGATAATTTAAGAAGATTTAGACATAAAAGTTTCCTACAGTTATCCAGGCCTAAGATGATTCGAATCACTCTGTCCGAGGACCTCAAGATAATCTATCCCTAGGAAGAACTACAGCCAGGCAAGTCGTCTACCTTTAGACTGGCTCTAGAACACAGGCTTGCCCAGCCTTGAACTAATTTATCATCTATAAGTGGTCTGATCATCGCAATCATCCGTTCAGGTAGTCTAATCAGAATTGCCCAGACCACGTAACCTCCAAGCGCCAACCCCGGAGACACCCTAAGACAGCGCCCCCAAACCTCGTTTCTTCACAGAAGAAATTTCCGGCGGGCCCAATTAAAATCGTCGATTTATTTAGCAAAAGGTATCGCGGCTTTAAAATTCAGGTCGAGGACTCCGCCGTCACCGAAACTCCCGCACCGTTCAGGCTCCCAGATCCGCCGAAGAGGGGTGAAGCGTGTTTCTCCGAACGAAATCGCAGCGCGTCCTTCCCCTTTCGTTACTTTCTTCCTTTCGCAGAGCACTTTTTGAAAAAATCGGACGCGCCAGAACGCGCGTCCGCTACGCGGGGACCGTTTCTTTCCCGCTGAAATCTCAGTGATCACTTGGGAATGATTGAATCGGGGGAGACGGGCCGTCATCGAGCGAATCGGAAGGGAGGCGAGAACCGAGAAACAGGAGATAGAAACCTCCTACATATTTTTTCCTTTGTGTATTCATTTCCTTCGTCATCGGGATTCTGGTTTGGCTAACATATGAAAAAGAAAAGATCCGTCGTCATCGTCGTCCCGTCTCCATTGCTATTTACGAAGCCTAGCGCGACGCCAATGCCACACGTTGGGCCAGGTCGCGGTGAAACGAGATAACCTACGTTACAATGCGCCAATATCTCTCGAGATATCATGTATTAGAACGTGCTAAATAAATATTCACTTCAATTCGGACACCCATTAATAGATGTTACATCGCAGTGTCCGGGTAGCGTTTTCGTAGAAAGTTTATTGCTTAGTGTCTACTCCATGACTCGTGACAATCATTTCGACGCACGTCCCTCCGTTTCGTTTCGTTTTACTCTTCGCTTCTGTTGGGCTCGTACTGGCTTTTTAGTCGCGGACAACCCGCCTCGCCGACAGCGGCCAACATAACTTCTATTAACGAGCCCCCGAGACTACGTTACTCGGCCACGGTGGAATTTATTCGGTGTCCGAACGTCCGACGAGTTCGCTAGCCTAAGGATTCTCACGTTCGTTCGTTCGCCGTTTGCACCCCGTTGATACGGTTAAAATTCTATTTACATCAGGAATCAACGGGATTAAAGATAAACGAAGGCGCACGTATTTACAGTTTCCCCTTTCGAAAGCAAGACTTTCGGTCATCGGAACAGCGACCATGGAATTGCTTGACAGCGGCGGAATCATCGGAGTGCAGAGACAAACGAACCATCCAACCTCCTCGACTATCTGATCCGTAGATTAATCCTTTAACCGTGGAACCGCGCACGGCAATTAAAGGATTAATTCGACTATAAAGTTCTCCTCAGTGGTTCCAGCGGTTTCGTCGGGTCCTCCCGTTATTATTACGTCGCGAATATCCAGCGCGAATGAAACAGCGGCGAGCCTAATAAGCCGTGGTCCCGAAGTGAATTTTCCTAGCTTGCGATTTTCTTCCTCGAAGGTGTGCGAAACGTGTCCGGTATATTG